AAAAAACTTAGGTGTTACAATTATTTGTGGCCCTACATGACAAAATCTTATTCCTTAGTACTGTATCTCTCAGTAGCGAGAAAATAAATTTAAGTAATTTACTTAATTAATCAAATTTAATTACTTAATTGTAATTAAGTTTAATTAATTTAAATGATTTAATTAATTGATTTGAATTTAATTCACTGTTTCTCCTTAGGGAGCGATCATGGAAAAGATGTGGGAAATGCCGCTTTAAGCCTTCGTCAGTCTGCTTCTGCAGCGTCTGACTCCCTCACCGAGCACCGAGGGTGGGCCTAGGTCTGCTTGGTCCTGCCGAAACCCCCATTCTAGAACGCTGCCTGGCACACAGTAGGTGCTCAGGTGACACCTTCCACGTGCCAAGCCCTGCAGAGAACAACCCAGACAAGGCTCTGCTGTAGAGAGTCCACACTGGACCTCCTTTCCCTGGATCCCTGGACAGTGGGGAGCCATGGAAGGTTTGGGAGCCGGGAAGGGAAGAACCTCCTGGGCTGGTACATCCCCACCCGGAGAACACAAGGCCTCCCAAGCCTCCTGCCATCGGGTCCCTCTAGGAGGCCAGCCCAGGACAGGAGCAGAGGGCTGCGGCCTCTGCAGCTAGACTAGCTTGGCAGGTGGCTCCCTGGGGGCGGAGCCCGGGTTGGGGAGAGGGCGAGCAGGACTCCTGGGTTTCTGGGTCACCCAGCTCTGCCTCACCCTCTGGGGGCCTTGGGAAGGGCTGGACCCTCACCGAGCCTTTGCAACCTCCAAGAGAACCCGACTGCCCGGGCGTGAGGACGAACGGCAAGGAGACAAACATAGCCCAGCTGGTGTATATATAGACCCTCCCACCTGGCTCCCAGAAGGACTCCAGTGGCCTCCGCAAGAGGCAGAGAAATGGGCACTCAGAGAGTGCCAGGGTTTGTACACGAGGCCCTCACGTCACAGGCCTCCGGAGTGGAACCAGGACAAGGAGAACCTCTGATCCCTCCAGGAAGCACGTCTGAATAGGAATGAGCTCCCCACTGGGGGGCTGCGCAAGCAGAGGCCACAGCCCCTGGTGGGGGTATGGCTGGGGACAGATCTTGGCCAGCGGCTGTTAAATCCCTGCAGGGAGACAGAGGACACCAGCCCTGCTCGCTCAGTCACCGCCCTGCCCTCAAAGCAGCCGGGGACACAACCAGAGGTAAGGCTGAGCACCGACTGGCCCCTTCCCCCTCCCTGGGCCCGAGTTTCCTGGACAGGCTTAAAAACACTGGCCGGAGGAGAGAGAAACCTTCATTGTGGTTCCTGAGACTGCTCAAGTCCGCAGCAGCACCAGGAGCCCCATCCCTAGACGCGGAGCGAGGCGGCCGATGTCGGGGACATCGCAAGGCGGGCCTTCAGTCCCCAGCTTTGGTGTTGCTTGCTATGTAGCCTGGAGCTCATTGCTTTCCTTCTCTGAGGCACCGAGTCCCCAGTCAGTACAACAAGGGGGTTGCTTTGTCCCTAGAGAGCCTCCCAGGACTGATGGCCCAGAATAAATAGAACTGCAGCCCCCACCCCCACCCTCGGCCCAAACCTTGGCCCAGCTGTGGTGGGGCCCAGCTCTGTGGGCCCCCCTGCCTTGGTTTGGGATCAGCCTTGGGGCTGGGGGCATCTTCCCTGCACCTGCCATTTCCCCTGTCATTGCCAAACCCCCCCTTGCCAGGCTCTGAGCAAGACAGACCCATCCCGGCCCCAGAAGAGCTCCCAGTCCAGTGGGGAGGCAGTCAGTGGACAAGAATATAAATAAATAAATACAAGGCAAGTACAGCCGGGTGAGGGGACAGAGTGACAGGGTGATCAGGGAGGCCTCTGTGAGGAGGTGGCATCTGAGCAGAGACATCTGAGCCAGCCAGGAGGACGTCTTGAGGGAGAGCCTTCTGGGCAGAGAGGACAGCAAGTGCAAGGGCCCTGAAGCAGGTCCAGGCTTGGTGTGTTTGAGCACCATGTGGCTGAAGCTCAGGGAGCAAGTGGGAAAGTGGTGGGAGAGGAGGTCTGGGAGGGCCGGCGGGTGTGGGCCCTGTGGGCCATTGAGAGGCTTGGACTGGGGCAGGTGGGAGCCACAGCAGGCTTCTGAGGAGAGGAGGCTGAACTGATATTTAAGAGGGAGGCTGCCTCCCCACTCCCCACCAGGCCCAAATGCTGCATCTGGAACCTGCCTGAGGAGGAGGCTCTCACAGCTGTGCCTGGAACAGGAAGTCCGTGCGCCTCCCCCGTCCGGCTGTAGGTCCAGAGACCGTCCGGCCCAGGTCTGGGATAGGCGCCTGCCCAGACCCTGCTGCCTGGAGGGAACCAGAGACAACACCCCAGCAAAGGGGCCCGGTCCAGTGCCTCGAAGCATCACAGACGACAGGGAGGAGGGGGCACTGCCACTCCAAGTGGGGCTCCTTCACTGAGGTCATGGGCTGTATAAACTGTTAAGGGCCCGGGCACTGGGCACTTACTTCATAAATGTCAGTGATCAGCACACTGGCTCCCCTGGCTTGGATGCCTGGACACCCTTTGTAAACGCTGTAGGGTTCCGTAAATAGAAATGGAGCCTGGAAACAACGGTGTTGGCATTAACGTGTAGAGGAACATGCAAACTTTAAAGTGCTTTCTACTCTGGCCAGTGCTTGGCAACTGTAATCTACTTGGTAAACTGTAACTCGCGTGGTAGTCCTGTAGGAGGCTTTGCAAACTGTAAATTCCTTCGTAGGCTGTTTTGTAAACAGCCCCAAGCTTTGCACACTACAAAGTCCTTTGTAAACTGTAGAGCGCTCTGTAAACTGTCGAGTGCTTTGCCAGCTGTAGAGGGCTGTGCACCTGAGAACCTGTGGATGAGTCAGACCAGCGCCCGTCTCCCAGCATCAGCCCCAGGGCTCCCAGCGGGGCCTCCGCACGGGAAGGAGGGCGCGGGAGGCGGGAGGCGCAGGGGCGGAGCCGGGGCGCAGGCGGCGGCCCCCTGAGACCCCGCCCGGCCCGGGCCGCCAGCGCGGGGGCGGGCCTCCGGGGACACGGGCCACAGCCGGGGCTCTGCGGCCTCCTGGCGGCCGCAGCAGGAACGACTCGGGCCGCGCCCCGGGACCGGGTCCGCCGGTCCAGCGCGCCCGCGGGAGGACACGTGCGCGCGCATGTACACGCGTGCGCGCACACTGGCATGCCGGCCGATCCGCGCACGCGCACGCGTCCACGTGCGCATCCACCCACAGGCTTCGGGATTCATTCGCTCCCTCATCCTTCCGTGTTCATTCATTCGTTCGTGTTCTCATTCCACGAAGGCTGGCTGAGCACTCGCAGAGCCGGCACCGGGGCCACGACAGCTGCAGGTCACAGCTGCCCAGGTAAGGCGGACAGGCTAGCGGGGCTGCCTGGCCAGCAGGTGACACAGGAGACCAGCAATGGGGGTGGGGGTTCCGGGCAGACGGCACAGTCGGTGCAAAGGCCCCGAGGTGAGAACAAGCCTTCGTGATGGAGGGAGGCACGAAGCGCCTTGAAGCTGTTAAATCTGCGCCAGGGAAGGCTTGGTGGACAGAGGCCTGTCCCAGGCTGGGGGCTATTTGGGGACAGGCTGAACTGAGGATGGGAGAAGTGGAGGACAAAGCAGAGGAGAGACGGACCCCCAGGGCATCCATGCCCTCCTTCTGGGAACATGACCCCATTTCCCCTGGAGGACCGTGGGGGGTCCTGCTCTCAGACCTCGACGTGTGGGCGGCTGACTCTCCCAGGTTTGAGCCTCCTGGCCTGTGATTAGCTTGTAGATGAGCACGTGACCCTTCCCAGCCAGTAGGAGCCAGTCCTGGGACTCCTGCTGAAGCTCTGGGCCCCTTTGCTAAGCTCGTCGGAGTTACTGGGTCCTGACTTGTCCCCAAGAAGGGAGTGTGAAACTGAGACGGAGAAAACTGAGCTAACATGGACACAAGTTCTTCAGGATATTAACCGGGCTCCTGGATGCAACTGTGCCTGAAGCCAGATGAGTTCTGCTTACATGAGCGAATACCGTAAATTCCCTTCTGATGGAGGAGGGTTTCTGCCCCAGCCCAGGCCTCAAGGATCACAGAGCCAGATTGGACCCTGGCAAGGCTGCGCTCACTCCCCTCAGAGCCCTCTCCCAGGAGGATGCTCCCTGTCCCCAAGCCTCAGTTTCTCTCTCATACAAGTTGTAAGGCTCAGGGCAAGTCACTTCAGCCCTCTGGGCCTGTCTTCTCAATGAGGTGACAGTGTCGGCCCTGGTGCAGCGCCTGGCCTGTGCTCCTCACTCGGTGCATCTGGCAGTGCACCTTCAATGACAGTGGGACAGGCGGCCCCACCAGTGGACTGGGCCTGTGCCACTGCTCTGTCCAGCACCCAGACAGGGCCTGGCGCCTGGTCACAGCCCTCTGGGAGCTCTGGTGTCCTCGTGTGTGAAGGGAGAGTGGGCAGGCCCTGCTCCCTTTATCACACTGCACTGGCCTGTCCCAGGGGCAGGCGGCCCTTCTGGGGCCACAGACCTTCCCCAAGGAGTGGGGATCGCCGCTGTGACACAGTTACACACAACCTTTTGTGCCACCTCTTTTTTTTGTTTTTTGTTTTTAATTAAAACAGCAATCAGGTAACTGCCCTAAGCCATCAGGGATAGGACCCAGGACGGGCAGTCCTTTCTTCAAAAAAATATATTTTCTTTTTTTTTAAACAACACCAAAAGCAAATCCACAGCTCCCGTCGAGCCAGTCCCCAAGGAGAATGAGCTGGATGGTTCCCCTAGCACCTCTCTGAGCAGAGACCTTGGGTCCATCCCCCTAGACAACCGCCTGAGCAGACAGGGCAGGTCTTGGCCTGCTGGTTCCCGGGGGGTGGCAGAAAAGTGATGGGCTCCAAACCATGCAAGAAACACAAGCCAAACCCACAAAGCGGAAGAAAAACTCAAGAGGATAAATTAAAAAAAAAAGTGAAACGACGCCCTAGAGGTGGCAGGTGGCCCGGCGGCCCCGGTGCCCCGGAGGCCCTGTGTGCCAGTGCTGGGGTAGAGGCCTTGGGCAGCTCTGGCATCTCCCTTGTGGGGGCTCAGAAGGATTCACGTGGCTCATCCACCTGTGCATCCCCCACCGATGCTGGGACAGAGGTGTGGCCACCCTGGGCCAAAGTGTGCAAAGTCCATTCAGTCAAGAGATAAAAAAATATACAACTTGGGTGGCCTCCAGGCCTGGGCCGGAGCAGCGGCCTGCACACGGCACCAGCTGCCTTCTCTGTGAGGGGCAGCAGCGTCTGGCGGGGGGCATCCCAGCCCCTCCAAGTCCGGGGTCTTGGGGGCTAGAGACTTGGGGTCCTTGGAGCAGCAGGGGCAGAGGCACTGATGGGGCCCTCGCAGGCCCAGCTGGGGGCCCCAGTGGTCTGGTTCTTTGGCACTTGGGACCAATGGCCTGTTGCCGAGCCAGGTGGGAGCAACCCCCTCGATTCCTCCTGGAACGTCTCAGGCCAGGGCGGCAGCTTATGGGTGTGAGCAAGCACTGCTCCCCCAGAGGGGGCTGGGGGGCGCTGGGGGGCCAGAGTGGGGTCCAAGGCCCTGCCCCTACGAGTCCTCTCCCAGGATCTCCTTCACAAAGGCAGCAATGTCCGTCTTCTTGGTTTTGTGCAAGGTGAAGAAAGGGTGCTCCTGGTGGGGGACAGGAGAAGGGGTGAGGTGGAAGTGCCTCCCCCTCCTCAAACCAGCCCCAGCCTGAGTGCTCCTCCTGCCTGGCAAACTCCTACTCATCCCTCTAGGACTCTGCCTCCAGGAAGCCCTCCTTCTTAGAGACAGCGTTAACGGCTTCCTCCTTGGCCCTCTGCAGCCATCTTCTGGTCACACTGAACTGCCTTTTCCCCACACATGCCAGGCCCCTGCCCATGCTGGGCCTTCCACTTGGAATGCCCTATCCGCCCTCTCCATCAGTGGGTAAATCCTTATTCATCCTCCCAGGCCCAGTTCAAATGGCACCTCCTCTGTGAAGCCTTTCCTGATGTCTTTGGATAAAATGGTCCACCTGCCCGCCACCTCCCCATCCCTCTGCACCATCAGTCACAGCACTGCCTGTGTGCCCCTCCATGGGGCCTGGCATGGAATGAATCAGTGACTGAGTTCCTAAATGAATTAATGCAGGGGTAAGCCAGAGACGCTGCCCACCTCTGTGCAGGGAGATGCAGCTCCCTCCCCAGAGAGCCCCACACTCACCATCAGCTCCAGGTAGCTCATGCGCTCCGCAGGGTTCTTCCTCAGGCTAGGAGAGAACAGGGCAGGCTGGGGCCAGGGCGGCAGGAGGAGGTGAGTCCAGCCCCCACCCGCCCGGGCAGTGAGGGGACACACGTGCTCGGGGCTCGAGGAGGAAAGGCTGGGGCTGTTCTGGGGAGCTACCAAGGGTGGAGTGGGATCCGTGGGTGCAAACTACAGAGACCAGGACCCAGTTTCTTTGCCTCTTGGGTTGTTGCTTTCTTGTCTCCATAGTGATCTAGGGAATTCCCAAAGATGCCGACAACAAAATGATACCAAAACACTGCAGTTAACAATCATATCTCAGGGGAAATTCCTCGGGGAGAGGGGAGGTCCCGATCAAAAGGGGTTGAGGTGACCAATGACCCTGTCTGCCAGGCTCATCTGTTTTCAGTCTTTCTAATTTTCCAATAAAAGAAACAAAGGCTACAAATTGTCCTCTGAGTGTGTCTTTGCCCACAACACACAGATGTTGCTATGTTCTGTTCTCATTGTCTTTCACTGCTAAATAGTTTGTAATTTTATTTTTCAAATCTTTTTCATAACCCAGGAGTTATTTAGAAGAATTTACTTTGACTTTCCATGGAGCTTTTCCCTCTTTGTTATGGACTTCTTGTTTTATTTAATTATGCACAGAGAACATGTCTTTGCCTTTTTCTTTTTTCCCTATTTCCTTTGTAACCTCAAATACAATTAATTTTCATAAGGCTCCCAGGGCATTCTTTAATTTGGCACAAAGTTCTAAACATCAATAAAAGCACATTTGTTTATGCTATTCAGATCCTCTACGTGCTTTCTGTTTGCTTTTTCAGTCTACCTGGTCTGTCCATTTCTAGAAGGACTATATTAAAATCTCCCCACAGACCAGTTTGTCAACTTCTCCTTATGCTCTATTTCTGCCTTGTATGTTGTGATGCTGCGTTGTTTGGGGTTTATGTGCTAGAGGAGGAGGCCACCAGACCAGGAGGAGCTGGGATCCGGCCAGGGCCGGCAGCAGTGCTGACTGGGGCCGGGGAGGCCCAGAGGCCCCGCAGGGCCAGAGACTCACCACTGTGCAGTGAAGTCCACAAAGTCGGGGGAGAAACGGTCAGCTGGGAGCTGGGGGGATGGCTCCTCCACGACCTGCTTCAGCTGCTGGAACGGGGTCCCCCACGACTCGTAGGGAAACCGCAGAATGGCCATCTCGATCTGCAGTGGGGACAGTGGCAGCAGGTCAGACGCACCCACACTCTGTGCCCAGAAGGAGGGCGTGTTCGGAACCTGCCTGTCCTGGCCCAGTGCCTGCAGCTGGGCCACGAGGCAGGTCAAGGGCCTGACATGTGACATCAGGCCAAAGACGAAAGGCAGGGGGACACAAGTAGTTGGCTCCTCTGACCCCACTGGCAGAGACTACAGCTCATGGAGCAAATCCAGCCCTGGACTGTGACTGGTTTGACGACGGTCAGGTTTTCAATCTGAATTCAGAAGATTTTACATAAAAACCCAGGTTCTAGCTAATCTGGAAAAATCAAAGGAGCTGGCAACCTTGGGCCCCCTTCCCACAAGGCAGCAGTCGGCAAAGAAACTGGGCAGGCACCAGCTTCCCTGTTGACCGCAGGCCACTCCCTTCCCTAATGTCTCCGCAGTATCTTAGTGTCTGCTGCCGTTTATCCGGGCCGTTGTTGCTCGTACAGAGGAGCAGACGGGAAATGACATGATTCTCCTCCGCCTGTCTCTCCCCAAGGCTGCAGAGGAACGTCAGACCGTGAGGCCGCATGTGATCAGCTCCTTACTGTGACGACCCGCCAGGCCCACCAGGAATTGAAGTTCGCAGCCCCTCCTTCTCTGCAGAGCCCCCATCTGCCCACCCACTGGTATCCGGTAAGGCCCGTCTCCAGTGCTGCCTCCTCCAGGAAGCCGTCCCCTCTCAGCCCCCATCACTGTTCCTCCCTGACCGCCTGGACACGTGGTGCCCGGGGCCTCGTCAATCCTGCCAGACCTGGACTTCCCTGCGGGCACCATCAGGACCACCCAGCCTCCACACATTCGCCAGGCATCTAGCCCCGTGCCATGCCTGCAGCTGGCGGGAAGTCATTTGTGGAAAGGACTGGCTAGCTTACGACAGAATCTGGGTTCTGATCTTGAGGTCGAGGTGAAAAGGACACATCGGGTCAGCCAGGCCCTGCCTGGAACAGCGCAGAGGCTCCTCATCGGCGGCCGTGGTCACCATGGTCACCATGTGACCCAGAGAGGCCTCAGCTCAAACACTTTGTGTGGGCAGGTGGCACCCGAACAGATCACTAATTATCGTGCTGAGAAAGGGCGTTCCCACAAGGCTAAAGGCCCCTCTCCAGCCGAGATGTCAACACCCAATGGAGGACGCGCCTGAGCAGGGCGGGCTGTGGCCCTGTCTGTGTGCTTCTTCACAGGACAGGCGCCAGGGCGGCCTCCTGACGCCAACAAGCACAAGTGAGCACCCCAGCAGCCTGCCCGAGTTCATAATCAGGAAACAGAAGTGTCCAGACTCTGACCTAGGAATCCCTTTCCTGGTAATTTTTTCTAAAAAGCTCTAAAATGAAAAAACAAACAGCCTCTGAGCACAAAGCTGCACGATGTGGCGCCACCTGTAACAGCAGATGTGAGATGCAGCCTAAGCATCCAGCACCAGGGACCAGCCCGCCACTGGGCAGGGGGTGTGGCCGTGACCTGGAGGCACCAGGATGCTCAGCACGGCCAGTGTGTGAGGGTGGGAGCCTCCCCAAGCACCACCCCCGTCCACCTGCTGGGCCCCTCCGTCCCGTGGCTGCGCTCAGGTGCCCAGAGAGCGACTCGGGGTGGGGGGGTGGTCCATGAGGACCAGGGGGAGACCACCAAGGGTGTGCCTGGCACACGGCCCCTCACTGGTCACCTGCAGGACGGCTGTGATTTCCAAAGGACAGAAAACATGGGAAAACAGTGACCCACCGCATCAGGGGCCGGTGAGCAGACGGCGGCAGAGAGCGGTGTGGTCGCAGGAAGAGAGGCCTGCAGGGTTACAGCAATCCAGAGAAATAGGAAAAAGCAAAATAAAAACTGCATATGTTTTTTAAAAAAGAGCCAAAATGGGGAGGCCAGCCCGGTGGCACAGTGGTTAAGTGCTCGCGCTCCACTTTAGCGGCCCGGGGTTCACAGGTTCGGATCCCACGCGTGCACCGGCGCACCACTTATCAAGCCATGCTGAGGTGGCGTCCCATATAAAGCAGAGGAAGATAGGCATGGATGTTAGCTCAGGGCCAATCTTCCTCAGCAAAAAGACGAGGATTGGCAACAGATGTTAGCTCAGGGCTAATCTTCCTCACAAAAAAAAGCCAAAATGTCTAGAAGGAAACGCCTTGTGCTGGCAGCTGACACTGGGGAGCAGGGCTGTGTCTGAGTGCGACAGCATGTGACATGTTTCTCCCTCTGACGTTTCCTCTCTATGTTTGCAGAGCGTTTCTATTCCTTGTGCAGTTTGTGGGGAAAAACCTAACCCGCAGCACGCAGCTCGTCTCCCTTGGGGCCACCACAGCCCTCCTCCAGGGTGCACCCGCCAGGCCCCACCCACACTGCAGTCTATCTCCCCTGGAACCTGGGCTGGCCTGTGACCTGCTCTGACTAACACAATGAGGCAGAAGTGACACTGGGCCAGTCCAGGCTGAGCACGCAAGGGCACTGCCCTTGCAGAAGCCAGCCACCACGAAAGCCTCCCCTGCCCGCCCCGCCGCCAGGAGGAAGCCCGGCGGTGTGGAGGCCCCACGTCTGTAAAGCCTTCTTGAACCTTCCAGCAGCCAAGCCCTGACCTCAGCTGTGACCCCAGTGGGAGCCAGGTGGAGTGGAAGAACCGGCCAGCTGAGTCCAGCCCCGGCTGCAGAAACACGAGAAACAACAAGTTGTTGGTTTCGGTCACAAGGTTCTGGAGTGGTCTGTCACGCAGCACGTGGTAACTGAAAGGAGCACACACGTGTCCACGTTCCACCAGAGACATGGGAAGGTCCCCGGCGACGACAGCGGACGACAGGCGGAGGGAGGGGCAGGGTGAACGCATGAGTGCAGAGGTCACGAGCGTGGCCTCTGACACCCAGCCAGGTCTGGAGAGGCTGCAGTTACAGCAAGAACTTGTTCCTATTATTTTTTTTTTCTTTTTTTTGTGAGGAAGATCAGCCCTGAGCTAACATCCATGCCAATCCTCCTCTTTTTGCTGAGGAAGACCGGCCCTGGGCTAACATCTATTGCCAATCCTCCTCCTTTTTTCCCTTTTTCTCCCCAAAGCCCCAGTAGATAGTTGTATGTCATAGTTGCACATCCTTCTAGTTGCTGTATGTGGGATGCGGCCTCAGCATGGCCGCACAAGCGGTGCATCGGTGCGCGCCCGGGATCCGGGCCGCCAGTAGCAGAGCGCGCACTTAACCGCTAAGCCACGGGGCCAGCCCCCTATTATTTTTTAACTCAGGAGCTGGAAAACTCTTATCTGCAGGGGTAGTGTCCACCTTCAGACTTTGGATATGCCTCTCTGGTTTAAAGAAAAAACTTTAATTGAAAATAACGTGTCAGCAGTATTAAGGAAAATGGAAGATATCACCCAATTCCGCGTCTCTGAGAGAATGATTGTGATTCTGTCCTTTCCGTGTCCCCGTGCACAGAAACAGCTCAAGTCAGTCATGTGACCGTGACAGGACCACGATGACAACCGCAGTGGCAGTAAACCCAGAACACCACGCCGACCCTGACCTCCCCTGGATCTGGCCCCTCAGGCACACTCCCCCAGGGCCTTGTCCCAGAGTCCCTGCCCCCCCACCCCTGGCTCCTTTCCACACCCCCCCCACATTTTCCTGACTGGTTTGATGATCGACTGTTCCCCGCCCCCACAGTGGGAAGCCAGAGGGACTGGGGCAGGGAGGGCGCTGACACCACGGGGACCTCAGGGGCAAATCCACAGCCGGGCACTCCCCAGGAATTCCAGAGGCTGGATGGGGTGGGGGCCGATGAGCACACAGGCTGCCCCATCAGGGACTGACTCCCAATGCCAGGCCCGTGACGGCCGAGGTTCTCATGCACCCCGGTCTCAGGCCAAACTCCCAGCACTGGCAGGGGGACTTGGCACCCTATCCCCCCAGCCCCTTCTCCATGTGGGTGCTAGAGTGGGCTTTCGCTCACTAACTAAACCTCGCCCCACACTGGGGCCGTGCCCCGACTCAGGCCAGCGGGGGTCCTGCCAGGCAGCTCTAAAAAGAACAAGAGGCACACGGGCCCAGCCCTGCCCTGGACCTCAGACGCAGCCACCCAAGCTGAGGGCCGGGCACCTGCTCCCGCCTCACCCAAGTCCCCACAGGCCTAGGACTGAGAGCCCCCCCCCCCCCCCCCCCCCGCCACGCCCGTGGAAACGCACCAGGACCCCAGGCAACATGCTTCTCACTGAGAAAAACATTTTTTAAGATTTTTACCATTTTGCTTTTGAAATGATGTGCGGACCAGAGGCTCCCTTAATTTGGGATTACTGTGATTTCTCAACAAGCACCACGGACTCTGAGGAGAGTCCAGTGGACGAGTTCCCACAGACGTCAAGACCTCTCGTGGAAGGGACGGCTTGCTGCCAGGCAGGGCCATAACGTCACCTGCAGGCCCTCCCTAAAGATGCCGTCGCCTCTGACGGCACGCGTGCTTCTCAGCCTGTGAAGCCGACACTTCTGTCCGAGGCCTAAACCATTTCATGGGCCTCCCAAAGCTCACGGCCGGGCACGGCGCCCGCACACCCCACCCCCACGGTACCATGGTGATGCCGAGGCTCCAGACATCCGACTTCACATTGTAGCCCTTCTGGTTCAGCTCCGGGTTGATCCTCTCGGGCTGTGAGAGGGACAGGAAGGTGTGAACACCCACCCCAGGGCCGCCCAAGCCTCCCTCAGCTAAGTCTGGCCCCCCCGCCCCAAACTGAGGGGTCAGTGCTCATCCCGTCCCACACCCCCATGGAACAGATGAGGAAACCGAGGCCAGCGAGGCCCAGGGTCCTGCAGTGAAGACCCAAGCCTGGCCTCCCAGCCACCCCCCGGGGAGGTCCCACCTGCAGGACACTGGGGGAGGGGCGGGACCTGCACAGACCCCACGAGCCACCTCCGTGTGGGTGTCCAGGAAACTTATCATCCAAACGGGCACTTGGGAGCACAGTTAATAACAGGGATAAAAAGGAGCCGCTTGGGCAGGCGGGCGGCAGGCTGCCCCTCTGTGGCAGGACACGTGGAGTCTAGGGCAGGTGAGGGACAGAGGACGCGGCCGGAGGGCTGAGACCCGGAGGCTTTCTCCAGGTGTGCCCTCTCCTGAACCTCAGCCAGGGCACGGGGTGCGGGAACCACTCACAGCCATGTAGGGCTTGCAGCCAGCATCCATGGTCTTGGCCACAGAGTCCACCAAGTAGCCGCTGATGCCGAAGTCGCACATTTTGACATGGCCCTCCTTATTGATGAGGACATTGGACGGCTTCACGTCTGCCAGGGACAGGACACCCCTAGTCAGCTCCTATTGTGGGGCCCTGACGGCAGGCCGGCGGGCTCCTCCCAGGCCCCTGCCCTGGACAGAGGCCGCTGGGGCCCAGGGAGCGGACGGAGGGCTGAAGCTCCAAGAAGCACTGCCCCAGCCCAAGGTCACACAGCGGGTGGTGGTGCAGACAGGACACGCCCCCCCGTGCGACCACCGGCGCTCTGGACACGAGGTCTAGAGGCAGAGGCCCATCCCAGCTCTGCTGCCCCACAGCCGGGACTCGGCCTCTGCTTCCCAGCACAGCCTCTAGCTCTGGGGTCCTCCTGGGCTTGGAGGGGCATCAGTGACAGGGTGAGAACCCAGAAACCACTCAAATGTCCACACCAAAGGGTCAGCAGGTCCGGCCAGGAAGCTCAGGGCAGCAGGTAAAGCACAGGAGGCCGGCCTGTGCACACGAGCCCCTCAGGACACGAGGCCGACACAGAGCAGGTGCCAGTGCACAGCAGGGACCTCCCGGCAAAGGCACACACACGACACACACGCACCCCAGCTACTCGCCAGGGGATGTGCACGAGGACAGACATGCACAGAAAAAGGGCCAGAAGGCTCCATGACCAACTGCCAACAGTGATGATGTGGGGTGGGGCTGGGATGGGAAAAATCAGACGAGGGGCATGGGGGAGGTGAGGGCAGGGACTGACCAGGAAGGGCCGAGAGAACGTTCTAGGGTGGGGTGGAGGGGGAAACACTGCATCTCAACAGGGCGGGGGCCACTGGGGGTGAAGTCCGATCAGACCCAGCGAGGGCTAACTACAGTCTGTGCATTTCACGACACGCAGACGATAGGTCAACACAAAACCAGCCAGCCTTCCCCAGGACAAGATCCATGCAATCCTTGCTCTGAGTACCAGCAGCCCTAAGGGGCTGGGGGGTGGGGGCAAGGAAAAGGGCTTGAAGAGGGGGAGAGTGGCCTGGACTGAACAGGCTCGGCTCCCGACCCCACAGGCATGTCCCAACCCGGCACCCCCGAGAGCAGGGAGAGGCCCAGTCGCCCTGCAGGCTGCGCGAGACTGTGTGAGGAGCCGGGGGCCCCTCCCTGGGGCTGGGTACTGACCTCTGTGGATCACGGACAGCTTGCTGTGCAAATGCTCCAGCGCCCTCACGATCTGGCATTCCGGAAAGGGCCGAGGGGGGACAGGACCGACATTAGTCCCAGTTGCATCAACAGTGACAGAGCTGTGAGGCCCCCCAGCCGTGCCCATCTGTCTCCTCCTCCCACATACACACCCCAGCCCCTCATGACCCTGGCTCCTGCCCGCATCCAGCACTGCCCTGCCGTCCTGGCGATCCGGGTGCAGACATGCTGGCCTCCTACTCTGCTCCGAGTGGGCCAGGGTCTCAGGCCCAGGCCCTCACCAGGGAAAGGAGCTACCCCACACCCCTGCAGAGTCTAGACTTGTGACCCCCCCTGGGGGCTGTCACCACCCCCTACCGGCCTCCTGGGTAAAATCCAGCCCTTCTGCAGCCTCCCTGCCTCCTCCCTACCCTCAGCAGAGCCAGTGCTTAGAACCACTCTTCTCAGGAACCACCCCACAGACTCCGATTCAGTACTCGGGCCAGGTGTGTTTCAAACGTCCCCAGAGGCAGTCAGGACTGGGAACCCCGCAATAACTGATCCCACTTCCTTCTGTGCTTTGGCTGCCGGGATGCTCAAGTCCAGGGCTGCTGCCCTCCTCTAGGAACATGCAGCCTCAAAAGGCAGACATTTGGAATGATAACCTTTCTTTCCCCCAGCTTAGCTGCTACCTCTGCGAGCTCCTCAGGGCATTTTTAGTAGGAGGGAGTTGTAAATGCTAAGTCCCTTTTTCAAGGGCCTAGGAAGCTCCGGAGTTGCATACAAAGACCTAGAGATGCGGCATCTGCCAAATCTATATGGCTCTGGGAGCCCCGGGCTCCAGGCTCTCCTCAGCGGGAAGGCTCTGGTGCAGGGTGGGACAGGTGCTCAGGCTCAGGGCCACAGCTGGGAGCCATGCTGGGGGCCCAGCTATGCCCAAGACACACCATCAGGCCGGACTCTGCACCTGCTGGGCAGGGCTGGGGTCTCTGGCCGTGTACCGTGACCCCCACACACCCGGCCGAAGGGCACTCACGGACACAGCGATCTTCCCCAGAATGTCCTCTGGGATGGTCATGTGTTTGTCCAGCACCTTCCGGTAGAACTTGTCCAGAGACGTGTCCATGAGCTCCATGCAGATCCACACATCTCCCTGGGGTGGACACCAGAGGTCAGCCGGGCCGCCAGGGCTGCACTTGCGACGGGACAGGCTGCCCGGCGCCCGCGCACGCCCGCCCCTCAGCCCGCAGGGACTCACTCAGCCCCCAGCTCCTCCCACTGCCTGCTGAAGTCTCTCAACCCGCCCGCTTCTCCACCCTCCAGGTGTGCCTACACTGCTAGGTCCACACGCCAGCCTCGCCCAGCTCTGTCACCTCTGGTCTGCCCAGTGTCCCCCACCTGATCCCCAGCTCCATGGAAGTTTCCAGGGAGAAGTGACTAAAACACACGCCTGATTACGTCCCTCCAACAGGGGCTTCTGGGACCCTGATGGGCCAGCTCAGCTCCATGACCCAGCCCCACCACCCCTAGCACACACGGCTCGTCCAGCTCTGACCTTGGCGGACGGGTCCCTCTCCACCCATGATGCCCTGCCCCCCCACCCCCACCCTAGTCCCCCAGCAAACTCCCACATATCTTTCAGGACACCTTCTGAGGATGCCGGGTGCAGCACCTCCTTGGGGTACCCGCAGGCCCCTGGGCCTCCCTGGCAGCTCTGAGCTGGCATGTGGTGAGGCCTGGGTGTGTGTCTGTCCCCCAGCGGCCCAGGGACAGACATCTGTGCCTGGCACACCACGGGTGCTTAGCCAATCAGACGAGTGGATGATGAGGGGCTGACCCACCCGTGTCCACTGCACCCAGCAAGCTCCGGGACCCGCAGGTGCTCAGGGAGCAAAGCTGGGCAGGGAAGCCCTGACCTCAGCCCTCAACTCTAGGAGGTGAATCACCACCACAAACAGCACGTCCAATCTGGACCCCAGGTCTCCGTCCACACCCACGACAGCCTCACACCGCCCCGGCATGAGCCCATCCCTCACACTCCCTGGCCTAGCCCTCAATTCCTCTCTCATCCCACACCCGGGGATCTTTCCAGTAGACCAGAAGCGGACCCTCGCCCACCTCCACGGCTGCCCCTGGTCCCCACCCCACCAGCCTGGACACTGGGGAAGCAGGTGGTCACGCAGGCAGGGCCATGTGGCACGCTTGCTGAGTGCCTCGCCCCGGGCCCCTCACTTCACCTTCACGACGACTTAGTGAAATGGGTACGATCACTGGCCTCACTTCATAAACAAGGAAACGCGGCACAGGGCGGGGCCGTGACAGCGGGAAGCTGGGAGCAGGTGGTCTGGCTCCCAAGAGCCCAGCTCCGCCGTCTCGAGCAGGCCAGGCCTCCGCTTCCCTCTCCCCTGCGCCAGCACTGGCACACGGAGCGCTCAGCAGGCGTCTGCTGGGGGCGCAGAAGAGCGATGGTGGGCTGCGGGCTAGTGCGTGGACGGAAGGCGGGTGGAGGGCGGCCTGAGCTCCCAGTCCCCACCCAGCACCACCTCCCACCCCCCCCAGGCCCGCACCTCTCTGAAAAGGGCCCCGTAGAAGGTGACGGTGTAGAAGCAGTCGACCGTGCGCATGTTGACGTCCAAGTCCATGAGCAGACGCTTCTGCTCCTGCGAGTTCACGGTGGCCCGGATCCGCTGCAGGGGAGAGGGCTGTGGTTCAGGGGCCACGTGACGGGGCGAGCACCCTATTGTCCCTTATCTGAAGGCCAGGAGCTCCGAGGGGCACCCACAGGCAGGCCCAGCCCCTATGCCTCCTCCAGGCAGCCTCCCAGGTGCCCCCTAGCCCTGGCAGGGCTGGGTGGGGGCGGAGGGGCTCTGCCTACCTTAACAGCCATGATGGTGCCACTCTGGGCATGCCGCACCTTCTCCACCACCCCGTAGGCGCCGCGGCCCAGCTCCGAGATGGTCACCAGGTCATCCGCCTCCACCTCAAAGTTCTTGGAAGACAGAAAAGAGAGGGTTGGTGGCGGCCAGGCCAGGAGCCAGCCCGCACACCTGGCCCAGTGAAGACAGCTGGGGCAGCAGAAAGAGAAGACAGACAGTCAGGTCTGTCCCCAAAGCTTGCACCAACCACTTCCCACTGTGTGACCTTCACCTCTCTGAGCCTCACATCAAAGATGTCCAGAGGCCGTTGCTAGGCATAAATCAGACAGTGTGTGCAACATTCCCAGCGGCACAGGGAGCCCTGGGGTGCCCCTCCCTCTCGCCCCACACCACTCAGGTGGTTAGAATCAGTCCTGCATTCAAACACTCCTTATGAAGCACCCACCATGCGCGAGCCCCTGTTTTAGGCACTGGGGATGCAAAGGTAACAAAACAAAGGTCCTGCCCTCACAGGGGCCGTGTGGCCCTGGGCCGCCCACTCGCTCTTGCTAGAGGCAAACAAAAAAGGAATAAGCAAGTAGATGAACAGGACACCAGACAGTGACAAGTGTCAAGGGGAGAAATAAGCCAAGGAGGGGCTGTCAGCTGAGGAGAGGCCCAGGGTGGGGTCTCTGCCTGGAGACCCTTGGCACATCCTGTGGGGACGCACGGTCCCTGAGCCAGGGCCTCAATCGCCGATGCCAAGCCATCAGGAGGTGCATGTGAAATGCAGGCTCCCAGGCAGGGGGCCCTGAGGGTACAGCCAGGAATGCAGGTTCAACACACTGTTCCCACAGGTGACATGGGCACAAGTGGCCCGCAACCCAAACTCTGAGGTCAGGAAACCACGCCAGCTCTGGCTCACCAGGGCCCCAGGAGGCAGCCCCGTTCCAGACGGGAGGGCCAGTGAGTGGGTGGCCTAGGGCCACACAGCCAGCGTCCAGGGAGCAAGGCTCCTCTCCAAAGCCCAGCTCTGTCTGTCACCCACAGCCACCCCCAGTGGCCCTATGGGGTCAGCCTGGGCCCACCTGTCAGATGAAGACACTGAGGCTCAAAGACATCAAGGCCCCACCCCAGGTGCACAGCCATCACCTACCCTATCTCCAATGGTGATGAAGGTCCGGGAGTCCAGGTTCCGGGGGGGGCTGCAGGGAGAGGGCAGACCCCGTGAGCCTCCAAGGGAACCATACCCACTCCCCAGGAGGAGTGACCAGGCCGGGCAGGGGGCTGAGGCACATGCTGTCTCGGGAGGTCGTTCTCCTCAGGGCACCTCACCTCCCCCACCGCTGAGCACCTGCCTGCACCAGGACAAGGTGTGGCCACAGGGACACGGGCGCAGCCTCACCCTCCCCCTGAGATGGCGAGAAGGGGCACAGGGCAGACACGCGACACCCGCGAGCCCCTCAGCCGCCCCACTGGGACAGGCACCTGCTGCTGCTCCCCTCCGCTGGCCCCTTCAGGAAGCCTCTCCAGGCTGAGCCCGGGGAGAAACTGAGCCAACTCACGTGGGGTTCGGCAGAGGCGGCCTGGACACGCAGGATATCCTCAGGTCCCTCTTCCTCTTGGGTTTTCCTAGAAGGGAGCGAAGGCGAAGCTTCGGGTCAGTGCTCAGTCAGTCCACGTCCCTGGGCTCCCCTGGGCTGGACAAAGCTGGGGACAGAGATGTCGGGCCCCCTGCCCTCAAGGGGCCCCAGGCACAGAGACAGAGGCTGAGGTCGGTGTGGCCAGTGCCGGGAGGGGCCCCGGAGCCCTCCTGGAAGCCGGCGCGCGTGGTCCCCCCACCGCCGCCTGAGGAGGGACGGAACCTCAAGCCGCACTCAAGGAGACGCCCCCACCACGGATCTGCCCCCACAGGCACACGCAGGCCGCCACGGAGCCCATCCCAGGCAGCAGGGCCGAGTCTGAGCAGCCGAGGTTTTCGGCAGGCCCCCAGGCTCCCAGCCCACGCAGAAGTCCTATGTCCTGAGTTTCTGTTAAGGGCTGGATTGTGCCCCCTGAAAATTCACCTGTTGAAGTCCTAAGCCCCAGTACTTCAGAGTGTGACCCTAATAGAGATGGGGTCACCACAGAGGTGACCAAGTCACAATGAGGTCACCAGGGTGGGCCTAATCCAACATGACCAGTGTCCTCATAAAAAGGGGAAATGTGGGCACAGAGATAGGCACACACAGAGGGAAGACGATGTGAAGAGTCACAGGGAGAAGACGGCCATCTGCCAGCCAAGGAGAGGGGCCTGCAGCAGCTCTTTCCCCCACGGCCCTGCCCACACCTGGACGGGACCCCCAGCCCCCAGGACTGGGGGACAGGAAGCTTCTGTCAAGCCCCCTGGTCTGTGGTGCTTTGTCCTGGCGGCCCTAGGAAACTGGTACGACCTTCATCCCCCCGTGGTGCTCACCTTGGTGGGGGGCATCTTAGGTGGACAGAGCTCTACTCAGGTCCCAGCTGTGCTGCCCACCACTTCTCTGAGCCCTGACTTCCCCATCTGTCACCTTGGAACGGATGCCCACCTCAGGGGTGGCTGGGAGGCTTGGAGTAGACACAGGCTGGAGAGCCCCTGGCTGAAGTCTGGTGCCCATTTCTCTCCCACCCCCAAGAAGTTCCTGCCTTTGCCACCCTCTCCGAGGGCGCCCCAGGAAGACTGCTCCCTTCCCAGGGTGCCGGGCGGGCCTGAGCCTCAAGGCAGCACCTCCCTCACCCTGACCCCTGAGGACAGGCGAGGGGCATCACGTCTCCAAGCCCCAGAGTCCACACCTCTTGCACTAGCTGAGAGAGCGTGGCCTGGCGCCCAGCATGCAGCCGGCGCTAAAAGGGAATCAGCATACAGGGCACTGGACACAGCCGGGCTGGGCCTCATGGAGAGGGCTTCCATTGGAGCCTCCCTTTGAAGAAGGCATGGGGTCATCTTACAGGTGGGAGAGCAAGGCTTGGAGACCAGGGAGCCTGGTGGTGAGGAGTGCGGTGGGCGGGCTTGAGTCTGGAGCACCTGCTCCGAGGCGCTGGGCAAGGGGCTCCCTGCTCCAGAGGAAGAAAGTGACTGGCCCGGTCATCAAGCACGTGGGTGGCACAGCTGGGACTGGACCTGGACTCCTCGAAACCACCCAGAGCAGAAATGCTGCCACCTCCATGCATGCCCTGCAGGAGGATCCTTCCCGCCTCTGGGCATGGCCCTGCCACTCGCTCTGACCTCCTCACCCACCTCCCCACCCCGCCGTGCTCTGGCCACCTGGGGACTGGGAACTGCCCAAGGCCCCACGCCACCTGCCACGGGTGTGCACAGAGCACTGGGAGACCCCAGCCTCTGCAGCCACCTCTGAACTGGGTTCAGACCCAGCCTCTGCCATGACCCCCATGCAGCCTCAGTGCCCCACATGCGAACCCAGCTTGGGGGCCCACGTGGGTGGTGCCAGGCACTGACGTCGAGTGAGGGGTGGGGTTGTTACTGCCACTGGGAAGACGAGGCCCAGACCCAACTGTCCTCAGGGCTGCATGAACGACCAGGAAACGGAACAACCCCGGCGGGCACGGGGTCCCAGTGTCTGCAGGGGGTGATGCAGGCAGACACCTGTAGCCTCTCCACAACAGCCACCCCAGGGACCACCAGACGCCAGGCCCCCGAGGTGTGTCCACCTGTGCTCTGGCGGCCACAGCAAAACCAAAGTCCCAGCAAAAGGCCCTGACCCTGGCGGCCCCCATGCCCAATGGCGCATCCACGGTCCCAGAGCCAGGTGGGGACCCCGTTCGGCTCTTGGTGCAACTCTGTAGCCAAAAGCGTGGGCTGTCTCTCCCCAAGTTCAAATCCCACCTTGGCCCCTTACAGGCTGGGTGACCTTGGGCAAGGCCCTCTCTGAGCCTCTCTGAGCCTCAGTGTCCTCGTCCACACAACGGGGAAGGACACAGCAGCAACCTTGGCGAGTCATCATGTACAGGGCTCGAACGGCGCTCGCCTGCACCAGCTACTGCCCGTCTCTGAACCCAGCCCACGCCTGTCCGGCCCGGCCCAAGGCCTTAGGAAACCAGCTTCCACAAACACTGGCGGCAGCAGCAGCAGCACCACTGGGCGCCCACCATCTGCTCCCCTGGCCCTGGGGAGGCCCAGTCGCCTAACGATGGCCTCACGTGGGACGCACCTCATCCCACTTTACAGAAGAGACAATGCAGCTGGTCGTCAGGGGCCAGCAGGTCGCACTCCAAAGCTCCTTCACCCACCAAAGCAGCAGCCTGCGGCCCACCCACGGCCCTTCCCGTCCATCTCAGGTGCCCGGCACCCAGAGGGGAGCTCTTAGCCTCGCTTTACTCGAGGCTGCGAGGTGAAGTCACTGCACAGTGAGTCCGGGGTCCCCCCGGGAGTCAGCCCTGGATTTGCTGACTCGGAGACCCCACAGGCTGGGCAGCAGCTCACAGCAGCCCTCCTGCAGGAGCTTCTCCTCACAGCCGCGGGGACAGGCCTGCTGCTCTCCCCAACGGGCAGGACCGGGGGTCTCATGCAGAACAGGCACCCAGGCCTCCCCGGCCCCCTGGGCCCAGACATTCCACACAGCAAGAGGAATGCTGAGGAACGCCGAGCCGCGCCAGGCCATCAGTTCCTGAGGCCACGTCGGGGCTGCCCCTGCGTTAGAGGTCACCACCCACCTCTGGGGAGGGCAGGGGCCCCAAGGCTTGCACAGGCCACTGGCCAAGCCGGTGCTGCCAACACTGCGTTTGGTGGGCAGCAGCCTGAGGAAGTGCAGCTCTGCACCAGCCGAGACCCGGCATGGCACCCCTCTCTCTGCCCCTCAGGTTCCACACCTGCGAATAGGGGTGCGGAGAATTGCCCGCCTGCCCTACACGGCGAGGTATCCCCTGCCAGGCATGAGGTGCGGGGCTTAGCACACAGTAGGTGGCCCTATAATGGCCCATAAATGGTCATCACAGTTATTATCAGCTCTCCACAGAGGGGAAAACATCCTTCCTAAGTAATGAGAATTACGAGTAGCTTTTATTTTTGACTTGATGCTTTTTGTAACCAGAAAGTAAAACATTTTATGTAAAAATTAGCAATCCACTCGCAGCCGCGCCCTCGCACTCTCCCTGCTCTTGGCCCCATTCTCACTGTTCTCTGGCTCTGGCCTCACGCCCTTCTCCCACCCTGGGATTTGGGAACATCGTAAGATGTGCCCCCTCACCAAGCCTCAGTTTCCTCATCTGCCAAGGGAGCTTCTGCGCCCACAGCTGGGCCAGGTGGGCGAGGAGTGTGTGAGGGGGACCGAGGCGCGCAGTCGAGGTGGGCCCCCAGCCGGCCTCCTCCCAGGCTGGGGAAGGACAGAGGCTGCTGCGAGCACAGGGGCTGGGCAGGTGGCAAGAGAGTGGTCCCGGCCTTCCTGCCCACCTGCCCATCAGGGTCACCAGACCTGCATCTGGAGTGACATGGACTCCAGGGGGCAGCTGCACCCACTGTCAGAGGGAGGGGCGAGGCCGCCCTGCAGATGGCCCAGAGACAGGCCGGAGGCCACCTGCCACTGCCACTGTCCGCCCAGGACGTCAGCGCCCGCCCAGCCGGCCAGGCCACCCAGGTGGGGCCACCACGGCGACCATCACCACAGCAAACAGAGGTGCGCAGGCCGCCACCAGCAAATCACAACAAGCCCGCCAGCTTCAGTTCGCGGGGCTCCGGGCACAGCGCCAGGCATCCCTGTGTCCTCGGTGGCTCCATTCTCCCCGCAGCACCACGGGCAGGGAGCAAGGAATTCACCACCGACCTTCAGGACAGACGGTAAAGAGAGGAGCCGGCCACGACCCGTCCCACCGCAGGGGCAGCCCTGCCCTTCTCCTCCCACTCACGCTCCTCGAATAAGTCACCTTCTTTCCCACCTCAGGCTCCCTCTGCCTAGAATGCTCTTCCTGCGACTCTGTCCTGGCCGGCACACGATCCTCACCTGTCGCCTACTCAGAGAGGCTCTCCTGATGGCTCCAGCCAAGCCCCTGTTACTGGCTCTCCCTGTGTCCAGCCGGCTTCTCTCCTGTCACTTCTCACAAGTCACCATTCTGTAGTTACTATCTCAGAGGGAGCTAGCAAAATGCTTATGAGCACTGACTCTGGAGCCAGGCAGCCTGAGCTCAAACTGCAACTCAAGCACTTCCTAGCTGTGTGCCCTCAGGTAAGTGACTTAACCTCTCTGCACATCATGGTCTCAACTGTGAAATGGGGACAACGGACCAACCTCCCAGGGTTATCGGGCATGTCCAATGAGGTTATCAGCGCCATGCCTTAGCAGGTCTGACCGAGGAAGATTAGACTGAGCCATCTGGAAACCCGCAGTATCTTGCCCCAAACAGCCACTCTGTTAACACTCTCAGCAGCCCCACAAGGGCAGTGTGTTCATGGGCCTGCTGTACCCAGGGGGTCAGAGGGGAGAGGCGCTTGACAGAGGTCACAGAGTGAGTGTCTGTAGGGAGCAGACGAGAATACAGGTCTGTTTGCTCTAATGATCAAACACGGACAGAGCCTGAGAGAGGGGCCTCCCCGCCCCCTGCCACCACCCCGCCCCAGGGCCCTGGGGAGAGCCACCTGGACTGGACTGGGCCCCTCTCTTCTCAGGCCCGTCCAGGGGCGGGAGGCAGGGGCGGAACAAGCCCTCACCACGGACCCTGCGGGGCCTCCGCTCAACAAGGGAACCCCCCCACCACACACAGCCAATCACAGCCCATGGTTTCCCAATTTATTATTCCCGCCCCCTACTTTTGGGTATTTCGAGTGCTTCTCGTGATTTCCGACTCCACTAGAGAGGTCCTGGGCCCCGAGTGTCCATGCCAGTCAGGCAAGGAACTGCACGCCACTGTGGAGATGTGGGAGGCCAGACGTCCCCAAGAGTTCCCTGCATGCTCAGTGCTCTAGAGAATACGGC